AATATATAATCTTCGCATAATATCGCGGCACTTTCGCTGGCATCGACGACGCGTTGTCCGGCGTGTTCCTCGGACGTCAACAGGTTAGCAGCGTTGATAGCGACGCCGCGCGAGTGCGGATCGAATCGTAGACGTTGTCACTTTGACAACGGGTAGAAGACTACGGTATCATTTGCGGCGGAATGTCGTCGGGCGTGCGGCGCTTGCTGGACTTTGCACAGCGGCGTATAACGCGAGGTGTTGGTCAGTCAAATACTCATAATAGGGCGACGGCTGATAAAGGTGGCACGAGTCGTTATATATATACATAATTGATGACGCGCGCGCGTCTACGGGTTAGAAAATATTGTTGTCTACGAGTGGGGAGCGGGGTGGGACGAATGCATTACAACAGTATAGTCTCAAGGTCATACACGACGGGATACGCGACATAATAACACGTGCCGCGTGGAGTTACAAACTTACAAACAAACAACAAACAACAAACATACACGTGAAACTAATATAAGCGTGTTAAAAAAATAGTGTAGTTGCCGACTGGTGAGCGGGGTGGGGTGAATGCGATACGACGGTCTAGTCTCAAGGTCATAGACGACGGGATACGCGACATAATAACACGTGCCGCGTGGAGTTACAAACTTACAACATACAAACAACATACAATATACATGTGAAACTAATAAAAGCGTGTTAAAAAGTTTGCCTCTCGGACCTCATTGGTTTGCTTCGTAATCAGTCGTGTAAAGTGTTGTCATTTTTTAATCATTAATAAACGGCGAGCGCAAACCTTTGGTTTCGGCACTAAATACCGTGTTATATCTCACTGTGTTTGTGCAGCGCTAGTCTGGCGCAACATTATGTTATCTATTTTCGTCCTATTATCTTTTATGGTTCAAGATTACAAATTGCGTTAATTATAAAAATAAATTATAATATTTTGAAAAATATTTGATATTGATAGAGGCTCGAAATAAATAAATTATTATATGGTAAATTGCAGGTGAGATTGTGCCTCACTTGCCTCACCCGGCGAGCCGCCACTGCTCATGAGTCAAATAAGGTCTTTGCAATTACTTTATAACTTTTTATAATTTCTCAATGAAAATTATAATACAAATTATAAAATATCAATTTTATACTAAATTTAATTTCTACAATATATACAGTGTCCCTCTATGATTTACTAATTTGAATATAAGTTATTTTTTTTTATTTTTCCACACCTTAATTCCAATTACTTGGGATTGGCCACCCTTATCCTAAACTTTCACTAGAAACAATCTCCCACATCCTCAACATCTCTCCTCTCTAGTCACTCCACTTATCCATCTAAGCTACATCTTATATACTTTCTTATCAACTGCCCAACACTCTGAACCATAGATCATAGCTGGTCTCACAACAGTTTTGTAGAATTTATCTTTTAGCCTCGTTGGAATTCTTTTATCGCATAAGACACCAGATGCGGAACAAATGCATTTTACCACCCCATCGAGTTTTTTCATTTTTTTTTTTTTTTAAACGTGTATTTTTCAATGCTTTTTTCAAAAGTGTTTGAAAAAATTGTCGGAAAAAATTGGTTCAAAAGTTATAGCTTTTTAAAGTTGAAACATCAAAAACTAAAAATAGCTCAAAAATTGTTTTTTTTTTGTTAATTTTTGGGATTTTTTCTCATGATACTATTGTGAAACTATAATGACGTAATTATTACATAATATCCTCATTCTAAAAATCCTAAAACCAAAATTATCTTTAAAAATAAGGATTTTCCAAATTTTTTTTTCAAAACTACGCACATCAAATTTACGCAATACGAAATAAAAATAACAAGAAACTCAATTAATTCAATTTGAGCAAAAAAAAAAAAAAGACCACGATGTGGTGTTTTACATAGAATTGTTAATTCAATAAAATAAAAGTTTTTACTGTTTATTATGTACACCAATTAACACTTGTTGTAAACAAAAAAAAAATACTATTACATTAGATATTGTTGATATTAGTTAAGTTGTTGAGGTATTAAAATATACTTACTAATACCTTAATGTTATAATGTTGAGTTATACAAACCCATTTAAAAATAAGTTGTGGTCACCTATGCCTGCCGGCTCCGGTGACCGATTCGAGCACCTTCGGGACTCTCATGGGATGGGGGCTCACGCCCCCAAACCCCCAGAGGATAGAAGTCAAGCCCAAACCTAACCTATTTAAACCCATTCGACTGAAATTCTTAGTGACCCAACAAGTATAAAACCTTGATGTTAAAATAGTGATATAATATTGAAAAAATAGATCAAAAAAAATTAAATTTATTTACTTCAACACTACCTTAACACGTTTAATGTACTCATAAATACTCTTAAATTTACTATTCCTCGGTAACTACATCATCGAGAATACTTTTTATAGTTAATTAATGAAAATTATCAAAAAAAAACAGCAGTATATAACAAAATTTGTATATGATTATTGAAATCTTTGAAAGCTCATAACTTTTAAACTAGACTTCGCCGACAAAAAATTTTTATATATTCTTAGTCGGTATGAAAAACTAAATTGATTTAAAAAAAAAAATTTGAAAAATCTCGATGGGGTGGTAAAATGCATTTAAGCCCCAGATGCTTCTCTCCACTTCATCCATCTGCACTTAATCCTGTGTCTTACATCCTCATCAATACCACTGCTCTTTTGCACAACTGACCCTAAATACTTAAAACTCTCCACCTCTCCAATCAAATCCTAGCCTATTATCACTGATCTCCCTATTTTACAACCCGTATTCTCTTTTGTCAAACTCATACTCTATATACTGTATCTTACTCCTACTTATTCTTAAACCTATTTCTTCAAGAGCTCATCTCCACACCTCTAGCCTTTGATTTCCTCCCTATTTTCTCTTATTAAAACTATATCGTCAGCAAACAACATGCACAACGGCACCTCTCCTTGTATTTCTCTAGTAATTTCAGCCATCACTATAGAATATAAGTAAGGGCTTAAAGCAGAACCTGTGTGCACTCCTACTCTTACCCGAAAACCTTCTGTTACTCCTTCCACACTTTTTACCCGGGTACAAGTGCCCTCATACATATCCTCTATTATATTAATGTACTTTTTCGGGACTCTTTTTCTCATTAATAACCATTTTGAAACCTCACTCGAATATCAAATTTACGACTATAATTCTGTTACTTTTCCTGGCTAATTCTACTACTTTACTTTTCATCTCCTCATCCTTTATTATCCTTACACCATTCTTTGTACTTAATTTAAATATAATTTTATAAAGTTAAATTAGTAAAACAAAGTGGGACATCCTATATTTATTATACTTATGTATCATAAAACAAGTAATCAGAATATAGTTAAGGAAATAAGAGTTGAATAGCTTTTGGAATAATCTAATAATTAGTTCTAAAAATTAAACACTATATACAGATTTGCATAGATGTGTTTTTATGACAGTGATTTAAATCACTGCCAGATAATATCTATCCTTGTCCCAACTATTTGGTATTACCACTGGGTTCCTTTTTTTTTTTTGTTATATTATACTACACAACAAATCATAATTTAGAGAGTTATACAACCAATCAACAACACATTTAAATAAGTTTTCTTTAACTTGTACATCATTATTTTATTTGACTAATAATTTGTTAATTAAACTATTTTTTTATTAACCATAGAAGACTTACAATTTGTTGTTTATCCTCAAGTATTTCGTCAATAATTTTCATTTCCATCTTATACTTTTAATAACTAAAATTTTTTAATAATAAATTCACATTAATTTATTTTTACATACAAATATTTTTAATTTAAGTACCCCAAACGTACAGGAATGAATTGCACTCCACGAACACTATTTAACAAGATTAGTACTTTATAAAAATAAAAATAAATTGAATAATTTAAATAAACAGTTTTATAGAAACTTGCCAATTAGACTAACTCGTTTATTGGCTTCTTAAATAATAACCACACTTGTAATCACTAAAAAGTATTGAGTAATCAAACTGTGATGTGATGTATACATGTTTGTAGAACAAGAATAAAACTGTTATCTAATGATGGTTATTTTACCGCCAAAAAAGTTAATCTATTATTATCATATTCGTAAATACACAATTAAAATCAGAAGCCACAGAGATTACAGAGTTATTTGGGCTGAAATCAGTGTAGTTTTTTTAACTCTGCGCAACTTATAAATAATTTTTTAAAAATAATCTTTTATTGTTTTTTACAATTTTTATTAAAAAATAATAAATAGTTTTTTTTAATTACTTAATTGAAACAGTAATGGTTCTAATCTTGAAAGAAAGAAAAATGTAATGTAACTTAAGAAATTTTGTAGAAGATTCAATAAAAGTTTTCTATTGCTATAAGAATATACGCATTTTTATTTTTCTAAAACTATTATATGGTAGAGCAGAACATAAAATAAATATTTGATGAAGTACAAAATACCTATCAAGTTCTGAGTAATAGATAAAAAAGTGTCAACAATTTTATTGATGTTACCTTTAAATTGAGTTACTATCTTTATACTGTGGACTAAATATTATTTTCTATTATTATGGATTATTCTGACCTAAACAATACAGAAAAATATGCAGACGTTGAAGAAAGGATTCGTTATGTTAAGCAAATAAACCAATTGTCTGATCCAACTCAACCTTTCTCTCATAAAATGGTATTTAATAAACAATCTCTTGAATTAAAAATGAACTTTTTGAAAGCAACTAATATCAAAAACTTGGAAAGAGAAGAAATATTTCATTTATTTAAGAAGAATATGATGGAGTCTTATAAAAATTGTCCCTGGGGATGGCAGGAAAGAAAAAAACGTTCTGAAATGTTTCATTGTGATGCTAGGTAAAGAAAATTCATTAACAATAATAATAAAAAACAATAACTGTTATTCTAATTGTATTCTTAGATAAAATTTTAATACTTAGCTATTTGAATATAATTGTCCATAATTTATTTTTACAAACATAAATTTTTAAATATAATATTTTACTATACTTAATAAAATTTATGACAGTACTTTTATTTATTAATACCTTTATTTTAGATATATTATTGTGCGTTATTTAGCCAATAATGAATTAGCTGCATTTATACATTTTCGTTTTGATCTTGAAGATTCAATTGAAGTGTTATACTTATATGAAATTCAACTAAAACCTGAAGTTCGTAGCAGAGGATTAGGAAAATATTTAATGGAATTAATTGAAATTATAGCATTCCATCATAATATGAAGAAAGTTGTTTTGACTGTTCTAAAAAATGAAGAAAAAGTTGTACAATTTTACATGTCACAGAACTATGAAATAGAATCATATTCTCCAAAAAATTCATTTTATTATATATTAAGTAAAAGAAATCATAGATTAACAAATGTTTAACAAATAAAATAGTAAAATAAATTTAATTCAATAATTACTTATTTCTACAGTGTCCAATATAAATAAATTGTTTAAGTTGTATAGATTAATTATGGTAACAATAAAATTTTATAAAAAAGTACAACATAATTGTATAGAGAAAGAAATGTTTAAATTGTACATAAATTTACATTAAAAGGGAAAGAAGAAATCACAACTTACTTATTAGGAACTTAAGTCTAGTAACAATACTGAATTGGGTTAAATTAAATTAAATTAAGTTAAATGTTTAAGACAAAAATACACATCCTATAAGTAAAGTATAAGTGGTAAAAATTAACTTTTTTGCCATATGTTATCCAAGTTTATAAAATTTATTGGTGATATCAATTTTTTTAAATTCAATTAATACTTATTATTGCTTTGGAAATGAATAATATAACTACTGAACTGTGACTGTTATACATTATAAATCATAGCTTTGTATGCTTAATGTTTTCAGTCCAATAATTCTGAATTGTCATGGCTTCCAAACTATTCAAAAATGAATCATTGTCCAAACTGTACATTTCATCAGAATTTTCCTGTAAATCGTATATATTTTTATTAAAATTTCATAAATATTAATGCAACAACTATAGTTATTTATGTTATTTAAATTATTATAATTTAAGTAATTAATTTATAATTTAGAACTAATAAACTACTATTATATCAATGATATTAAAGCATACTAGTCAGGTAATAATAATCAATAAAAAAAGTCCCTAAAAAGTAATGTACAGTCAAGATATAGTATGAAAGATTGAATTTATATTTGAAACTAATATAAATTGAAAACTGATAGTGATTAAAATCACTCATAAAATACAATAATTTGTATGCGTTTGTAGCTACACTAGTATTAAGTTAAATTTTATAAATTAAGATTTTCATCTTCAACGATCAATATCTTACAGAAAAAAATGTTTATTTTAATCTATGAAAATTCAACTCTAAATATCAAAATTAACTATTTCTATGAGTTATTTTTTTTAATATTTTCCTTTATGGTGGTCCTATAAGGAAATAAAGTGCAAATCAACCCAAAATTCAGACTCAGAAATTTTGTACTTAGTTTAAAAATATATGTACTATATTTTTAGATTTTAATAGTAAAGAACCAAAATTAAAGGTCTTCAATGATAAAAAATTAAGTTAGCAAACATTTCCCTTTGAACATTTTTTAGACTACCATTGAAGGTAGTTTTTGCAAATTATAACACTGATGATTTTAACTAGATATGATGTGATCTTTTAACAAAATATTGAACTAGTAGCAGGGTAATATTTATGTGGATGGGTATAAAAAAAAAAATGACCTAGTATATTTAATATTTTCTCAATTATTCATCAAAGGTAAAAATTTTCAGTAATACACAGTATATTACAAGATGGAACAATAAGTGTAAAAGTTTAGTTGATTATCATAGGTATGAAAGAAGACAATTACCAATGGCATAGCTTCTAGTTAAGAAAAAGATTTACAATAAATTTTAATTCAGTTTAGGAGATCTCTACTTCAACAACGCCTAAGTCTGTGTATGGTAGACAGTAATGTGTTTTTTGTATAAGTTAGTTATTACTGGGTTGCTCTGAAGTAATGCTTAATGACAGTTCCAAAGAAGTCAACAATAATGTCGGCCATTAAAAAAAAAGAAGCTATTAGTGAGTTTTTATGGTTTTGTAGTTTGTTGTAAATAGCTTTTTTTAGTTTCATCAATTATTTTTGGAATTTTTAAATTAGAGTAGATAATTTCATTGAAGATATATGGCAGAGCTTTTAAAACAGTTCTTAGTACTTTGGGTTGGAATATTTGGATTTTATTGATGTTTGTTTTTTTACAATTACCCAAATTTTGAGGCCATAAGTACATATAAGTTTAATTAAAGAATTGTACATTATAATTTTTGCATTAAGGTTAAGCTTTTAGTGTTAAAGGAAAGGAGTAATTGTAACTATTGTTAAGCTTATTGTTTAGTATTAATATGCGGACTCCATGTTAAAAGCCTGTCAAGAAATATTCCTAAATACCTTATGGTGTTTCTATTTTGAATGTTAACACCATTATAGAAATAGGAGGACAAGTTTTTGGGTGTAGAGTGAATGTTATTTAAGTGGATATCTTATATATAAATTACTTTGATTCTAGAATAAATATCATAAGTTGAGAGAGATACTGTGTTTTTGTAGTTCATTTGCCATATCTAGATGGTTTTTGTTAAATTCCATAACAACAACTATTATCAGCAAAAACTGCTTTTATAATGTTTTTGCGAACCTACTGATTGGATATCAGTTGAATATTGGTTGAAGAGTAATGGAGAGGATATTACACCTTGTGATACTTCAACACTTATACATCTTAGATTTGATAGATTTTAACTCTGAAATGGCATTTCAAAAAAAGGATATAAATAGAAGGTATAGTGGAGTGAGTAGATAATTTTTTATTTTGGAAAGATGTCCTTCATGCTACACTCGATTGAAAGCTTATTCCATATCTAAGAAAATTCCTGCACATTCAAGTTTTTTTTTAAAACAATAAGAAGTGGTGTCTTTTATATGGTTAATATGTTAAATTGCTGAATGCTATGAAAAAAAAATAGAATATTAGGGATTAAATGTTTATTTTCTATGATGGGTAGTGATTATTTTAATAGTTTTGTATGTTTTTTAAAAGTAAGGCTAAAGTAAGTAGGTCTGTAGGAAGCAGGAGAGTCAGAAGGTTAATTTAAATGAATTACGGTTATAACGGCTCTTTTCCATAGAATTGGAAAGTATGGTAGCCTCAGAATGAAGTTAATGTATGACAATAGGATAATGATATTTTTAAGTAACTGGTTTACAATTTCAGCAATTATTAAGTCATAGTCTGGAGATTTTTTGGTTTTTCATTTAGATGTTGTATTTTGCCAGGAGAAGTTGGAGTAGTTGGTTTGAGAAAGAGTGTAAGAAATATTTTTGTTAACATTGCTAAGATTTTGTTAGTCATATATATTACTGTGTGATTGAAAAAAGGATTAATTATAGATAGATTTAAAATCATTTAAGAAGTTAAAAATAGTTTAATTAATTTCTAAGTAGGTAAGAGGAGTGTTTTTTTTTTGTTTTGAGCTGCTATGATTTGTATGTAAGAAACAGAAGGTTGTTTTATTGATAATGGTTGAGAGCTAGAAGGTTTTAAATAACTTGTAAATTATTAAACAACATTAAAGATCACGGTAAATTTTACATCCTTAATAGCTAACAACATAGTACATAATATGCATTTTCTGGTATATCTGAAGGTTTTGAACATACTGCAAAAAATGCAGCGAGAGTTCACAATAATATTTTGTATGTCCGTATGATTGGCAGTTAGTAAATTGTGATATGATGTGTTTTTTATCAGGATCTTCATCTTGGATTGGTAGTAAAAGACATTGGTCATTTATCTAGTAGTAATTCTAATATCTTCTAATGAATTTTTGATATCTGAAAGTGGGAGAGAGGTTTCATAGAAATACTCGTAACAATTTGTCTTCTTGCAATTGGATATATGTAATAAGGTATTTTCTCATAGATATTGAGTTAAGATGCAATAGTTTAGTGAAGTATTAGTTTGAATTTACAAGTATATTGAAGTATTTTTAAAATTAAAGTTATCTTAGCCACCAAAGTAATTCCGCCAAGGCTGTTGACAGTTCCTTGATATCTAAGATACCTTTAATAAAGACTGATGGCATGGGATTTTTTGAAAATTTTTTGATATCATTATCATTACAATTTGAGATATACTTTCATTTGGATTTGTATTATCTGTTAGTTCTATAGGAGTAAAGCAATTAGTGGTAACAAAAGTTGCTTTTTTATGTGGTGGAGATTTCAAGAGTGTATTTATTTCATACAAATTTTGATTTGTATTTTTTTGTACTTGCCAACCAGTACAATGATTTTCCTTCATAGTAATTTGAAAAATTGTAGGAGCTATATGAAATATTGAGGTAAGCCAAGCTATTCAACATAGCATAACTTCTATTCTCATTATACGAGTATTGAGATACTAGTGGTAAAAATGATGCGAGTGCATAAAAATAGCATGCGAATATCACAAATAAGCGTATGTAAATAAACAAAATTTAAGAAACTATATAACTATATAATAAAACTTACCTTAAACATATCATCTAAATATCCTATAGAATCTGCGTTACTACAATGATCTAATGCTTGTGGGCTATTCCATCTGCTTCTTTTATATGTTAAGTATCCTAAAATCACTTGAATATAAAACAAATTAATAACAACTATTTGTGAAATTTTGACTCTACATTCCTAAATTAAACTATATTACCAAATGATAAAATGACAACACAGCCTGCAATAGATGCACCTGATATTAAAACTATTTGAGTAGTCATATAATTAGACAATTCAGGCATTGATGTTATGTTTGCAAATGTATCATTCAATTTTGTTATTTCATCTGCTAAAATTTAAAATTAAAGTAAAATAATAATAGTTCTAAATTTTTTAGAATGACTACCTGTAATATTCTGTATTTCATAATGTTCTTTAAGTTCAACATTTTTGTTTATGATTGAAGAATTATCGGCTAATAATATTATATGAGACTTATTTGACAATTGTATTTGATTAAAGTTTTCAACGTCATCAGGTATTACTTTCACATCCTTCATTTGGGTACTACGACTAAATCTTAATGAGTTGAAGGAAGATATAACACTACTTGATAAAACAATTGGTGTTAAACCTGAAATTACACATATCGGTAATAAATGCATTATAATTGATTTAAATAGATATTTTTCATTATTTACTTACATTTTAAGTAACTGGCTAAACAAAGAAAAGAAATGAAGTGCATTATGCCATTACACAATTGAGCATTTTAAAATCTTAAATAGAATACTTAATAATGTAAATCTCCCGCTATATACTATTTTCGTAATTTAGTACTATAAACCTTTAGCACAATAATTATGGATGATTAGTTGCTTAATTTTAAACATAAAACAAATAAATTCACAGGGATGTCATGTAAAAATAAATCAGTGTAATAAATTAATCAGAATGAAAATTGTCATGATTTTTAAGAAATTTATTAATAATATCCTAGAATTTTAATTGTTATTGATATAACTAGTATACAAATAGTACGCCTTATCTTTCAACAAAAAGGTAAGCAGAAGTATTATACTATCAATTTGTGTTATTAGAAAGTAGTGATGGGAAATATCGAATAGTAACTATCGAACTATTCGATAGTCATTCAAAAACTATTGGAATAGAAAAAATATTCGATAGTCTATACGAATAGTTTTTAAAACTATTCGACACCTCTATTCAAATAGTTTTTAAAATATTTCAAAAAGCCTATCACTAATTTTTTTTATTATTAATTGTATCCTATTTGTAATCGTAGTACCTTGAATAAACAGTTTTAAACAATCCTATTTAAATCATTAGTGTTATTAAAACAGCAAAACTATAAATCTGACTATAATTTTACATAAGACCAATATTTTAGAAAATTTAACTATACAAAATCTAACAGAATCATTCTGTTATAAAATGATTATTTCGAAAATTAAGAATGATTTATATTAAAAAAATGAATTTTAGCAAATTAATATTTTATTTTATTTTTTTGAGCAAGTAAATATAATTTTAGAAAATTTTTGTAATTACCATTTTAGAAGAAAATACTAGAAATGCGGAGCATTTCTATCAAAGGATAGTGGGGACGGAAGCAAATGATAACGGAAAAAAGTGCATCCCCATCGTACACAGTAAACCCAACAAATTCAAACCCACGTGAAACCCAGGAAAGAGGGATTGGGAGCAAGTGCAACCCCATCGAGCAAAGTAAGCCTAACAAATTCAAACCCAGCAAAGTGGGATCGGAAAAAAGTGCAACCCCACCCCACAACAAATCCATACCCGTTCACTATTCTAGCAGAGGCTGCAAAATGGGGGGGGAATATACAGAAGTAGAATACTCACTAAAACCGATTAATATTTCATATTAAAGTAGAGTATTCGAAATTAAAGTACGTCGAATGTATCTAATGGAGTAGGCAAAAACGAATATTCCAAGTATTCGCTAAATAAATAAATATTTAAACTCGTAATTTTTAAAATAATACAATAGTGAATTGTTCGTCATTCGAACAAAACGATTATGAATCGGAAATTCAATGTATAACAATTGACTAAGTAAGAGTCACCGTGCACGATAATTGCCATACATAAAATGTAAAATCTGATACAATATCAGATAATAAAGTCTTTAAAAATATTGCTCACATAATTATTATTTTTTCAAATAAAAAAGTAATATAAATAGGAAAAATCATCTTTCATTATTGGGCAACAACACACATAAAAAAAAGTTTTATTCATATTGAAATATGGTACTTGAAATATAATTTGAATGCATTAAAATAATTAATAATTTATTAAATGTAAAATTATTTATTAAAATAATTTATTATTTTTCGACCTATGGTAAATAATATTGTAAACATAGGATATTAGTTTCTTTTAAAAATAAAAAAAAATTAACGTTTCTTTATTAATTAATGTTTTATTATTGTCTTGATCACACACACACACATAAACAAATTTAGTCGTTATTGAAGTAATATACTCCAAGTACAAATAGATATAATTATTATTAGAAAAATACGGTTTAATGAGAGACTCAAACGTAAACCGATACAATAATATCGGTAAAGGAATTACGTTATAAATTAAATAAGAAAAATAATCGTTTTCGATGAACTCCAAGAGCGAACTTCACGTAGTAATCGTGATGATCCTCCATAAGAGCCGAACGGTACCGGGAATCGAGGCGATAGGAGAAGGATCGGAATTTTAATACGGAAAAAACGTAAAATTCTTCCAGGTGGCTCATATTTAGAGGGGCTTACGAAAATAGGATATAGAGCGAGATTAAAATCAATAATTTATATTCTATATCAGGGGTGGCCAAATTGCGGCTCTTGTCATAATTGTATGCGGCTCTCGGTTTTATTTACAAAAACCAAAATTTTAATTTTTTATTAATAATTTTATTAAATTTTATAGAGTACAAAGTAAAAATAATAAATAAAAAATAATTACACTCAGCACAGTGGGGTGGCGGCAAAGTGGGGTCGTGGCATAGTTGGGTTCAGTATAGATGATATCTGACAGTGATTAAAATCATTATAAAAAAGGCTTCGATGCAAATCTGTAGATAGTGTTTAATTAAAAATTCAAAAATTAAGTTGAAAAAGTTAGTTTTTGTAAAAAAGTTGCTATTTTCAATTCCCCCCAATGAGCAGAATAAGTGTTAGATTTTCAAAAAAAATTATATCAAATGAAAGGGAAATATCTAAGGTTTCAATACAAAAAAATATTATTTTTATTTGTTCATTTTTGAAAAAGTTATGGCAGTTTTAAGTACAAAAAACATCCCGATAAAATGTAATTTTTATCGCAAACATTACATTTTTTTTTAAATTTTCGACAGCCATTTGCACATAGAAGATAAGATGTCGGGACAAATTTTTTTTTTTCATTTTATAGTACATAAAATAAGCTTTAATTTGACATATGTTTAAAAGACGCAGTATTTTCGGAATACTTTTAAAAGTTAAGTTGAAAAAGTTCTATTTTTTATGCAATGTTTCAAGTTTTGAACGCTCCTATATAAGAGGAAATTGTCCAATTTTAATAAAAGTATGTAAAAAGTATGTCAAATGAAAGATGTACTTATCATGTAATTAGAAAAAAAAATTTGTGCTGATAATTACATTTTTCGAAAGTTATAGCACTTTTAAGTTGAAAATTTAAAATCGAAAATTTTAACACAAAAATAGCGTTTTTTTAACTACGGCAGCCGTTTACATGCTGAAGATAAAGTGTCGGGATACATTTTTTTTTTCATTTTGTAGTGCATAAAATAAGCTTTAATTTGATGTATGTTTAAAGGACGCAGTATTTCCGGAACATTTTCAAAAATTAAGTTGAAAAAGTTAGTTTTTGTAAAAAAGTTGATATTTTAAATCCCCCCCAATGAGCAGGTTAAGTGATAGATTTTCAAAAAAATTATATCAAATAAAATAAATATCTAAGGTTTTAGTATAAAAAAAAATTATGTTGATTTGTTGATTTTTGAAAAAGTTATGGAAGTTTTAAGAAAAAAAAGTGAAAAAATTTCGAAAATTAGCGATTTTTAAATTTGTAATTTTTTTGGATATTTCCCCCATTTGCGGGGAACGAGGGAATTTTTTTCAATTTTTAAGGGTAATGTCTTCAACTAGATACGATTTGTGATCTTTTGACGTATTTTTGAAA